CAAATGAGTGTATTTCAATCGACTCTACTAAACTTGAACACACTTTTAACCAGAAATGAACAGATGTTGTTTCCTTAGTTACTAATAAAGTTAAAGGCTAAGTAGTCTAATAGCTCCTCTCAAAATCTTTAAATCTTCCCATTAATTTAGGAAAAGCAGTCCAATGAAAAATAAAAATATGAAAATTTTAACTGGACAAATGTTCCCACACGAAGTCTTCAGGTATTCACCAAGGCAAGTAAAATGCTTGTCAACACAACTGTGGCTAGTACTAGGACCAGAGGTGAGACTGTGTTGAGTCTATGCCTCAGTCAAGCTGAAATTTAAGATAGCTTATTGACCTTAACAAATTCTGTACTGAGAAGTGTATTACCATATATATTTATTAGAATTTTCACGCTTCAAATACGACAATATGATCACCCAAACAGAACATTTTCTTAAGGAATTAAAAACATTAATATAAATGACTGAAACTTCTATTAAGTGTATAAAAAATCTGAGATTAACTATTTACCATTGAAGTTCTCTTTCCAGAGTTATGTGTACTACTCCTTCCTCTTGTTCCTACGCATTGAGTTACAATGCATTGATGGTTTCTATAGAACATATATTCAAAATTACTGATCACACATGTATACTCTATTTTTAAAATTATGCCATTGACTGTAGTCTAAGATGCTGGGTATGAATTATAACCATTCTTTTATGGCTTTAGGGGTAGATAATCAAAAAAATTTCCACACTTCGCTCTGAAATTTACAAACTATACAACAGTGAAAATTTTGTAGGCTTCAAACATTTGGCAATTCAATCAACTAAACAATCAACCTAAATGTAGCTTTGTAAAGTAAAAAAAAAAATTTTTTAAAAGACACAAGGTATCACCAATTCTTCCTTTTTCAGGCTATTTCAACAAACATCACTACTTCTTACCACCCTAAAGAAATTTTAAGGAGAAAATCTAGTATATGTGCAAGGAGGCCAACTGTTTTAACTGTATTTTAATTTTAAAAATAAAAATTTGGTATACCGAATTATTTAATTTGTCAAGAGAAAGAAAACCACCACTGAATAGGATACTCATTAAGTCCTTAACATAATCTCCCCTCACAAGCAAATTTACAAACATACAGCTATTGATTATAATGAGAAAATTTCTATCTATAAATTATAACCCCTAAAACTCAAAAAAACATTAATTCAATCTATTCCTTCTGCTGTTACTTATTTACTCTGACTACCCAGTGTACCAAAACTAAGCTAATATTTGTGTGATTCCAGACTAAGGCATCACTCTATGTGAGTTGCAAGTGTAAAAACAAAAACAACACACCTTTAGCCCTTATTACTACATTAAATTTCAGTGAAGACGACAAGCTTATTTGGTCAAAGCAAAATACATTAACAACTACATTGCTTGAACATTTCCAAAGATAACACTACCAATTTTATTTTTTAAGTACTTAGAAAATCAGTCTCATAAAATCAGACATTTCTACAATTTTTAAAGGCCAGAACAAATATTTCCTATCTTTTGAAATCATGATCTCTTTCAAAACTTACTTATATAAAAATCTGAACAATTCCATAATCTATATTAGATAAGAGATAACTTCAAATATTTAAATCAGTCCTATCACTCCAACAACAAAGAACCAAATCTGTAAGTAATCTTACTCTAAAACAGACAAAACTAAAAAAGCCAACATTTCTTTTAGAAAAATGAAAATAAAAATAAAGACTACCTATTTAAAAAGCAGTACCAGAAACTAAACTTAATGACCACACAAGTATCTTATCAACAGAATTATGACATGTACAAAAGCATGAATTTCACAAAAGGAAAAGTAATTTTATACAAAGGTTATGAAAAAAAATAAATATAACTTAAGCTTACTGATCCAAACAATAAACTATGTTCTATTTAACAAAGATGGTGACTGATTATAACTTTATTTTTATTGGAGACCAAGTTAAAATGGGATCTATTTTATATATATAATATATAAACATATATTATATAATATATAACCATATATATAAAATATATAAACTTACATTATATATATATATATATAATGGAATAGTGGGACTATAACTGGAGGCTGGCACTATGGCACAGTGGCATAGTGGGTTAAGCCAATGCCTTCCATGCTGGCATCCCATGAGCACTAGTTCAAGTCCTGGTTGCTCCATGTCTGATCCAGCTCCCTACTAATGTGCCTGGGAAAGTAGATGAAGATGGCCCAAGTCCTTGGGACCCTGTCACCCATATGGGAGACTCAGAAGTTGTTCCAGGTTCCTGGCTTTGGCCTTGATCAGCCCTGGCCATTGGGGAGAGTGAATCAGCAGTTGGAAGATCTCCCTGTATTTTTTTATTTTTAATAGTATTTATTTATTTATTTGAAAGGCAGAGTTATGGGAAGGGGGGGGGGAGGAGTGAGTGAGTGAGTGAGATCTTCATCTGCTGGTTCAATCCCCAAATGGCCACAACAGCTGGGGCTGGGCCAGGCTGAAGCCAGAAGCCAAAAGCTTCATCTGGGTCTCCCCTGATTGGCAGGGGTCCAATCACTGGGCCATCTTCCACTGCTTTCCCAGGTGCATTAGCAGGAAGCTGGATTCGAAGTGGAGCAGCTGGGACTTGAAGTAGGGCCCAAATGGGATGTCGCTTTAGCAGGTGGCAGCTTAACCATTACACCACAACTTTGGCCCTGGAAGATCCCATAAAAAGAAAGATGGGGGAAAAAAGGACAGAATTATACATTTAAAAAAAGAGTAATAACTGAATAGAAGAAAAATTTTTATAAAAATTATTAAATGGTAAATTTCAAATGTTTATATTTTTAACACAAAGTAATGACTTATAATAGTGATTTCAGTATCTTTCACTTCATATCCATTCTTCACTTGTTTCTCTTTTGAAAAAATGAATTAGTTACAATGTTTAGAGAAACTATGAACTATTTTTCTGCTGCAAAAAAATTGAAAGTCTTTCAGAATGTTAATTTCCCTGCTTATCTCATAAGTGTAAATTATAAAATATTAGTTGGTAATGATTAATGATCTCTGAAATAATTATTAAATAGTACTCAAAAGTACTAGCAGATGAAGTTCGATATGTAACAAAATGTGGAAATTTGTTGACTTCATATCTAATATAAACATGTTTCTTCATACTCTGTTCTCCCACAGAAAAGCCTCTACTTCCTCAATATAAATTAGTTTAACTGCAATTCAAAAAACAAGCTACTGATTTACAATAGTATTAATTCTAAATGAGTTTTATATAGATAGAAAAAAGGGAGACATACAATATAACAGTTCTTTGATTTGTTCCCAAATTAAACCCTCTTGTACAATTTTGAAACTGTCCTAATTCCATAATGAAACCCTGGGAACTACAAATCTAAGTAACAAGAAATTTTACTCTAAAAGAAAAGAATGAAAACATGGATGAGGTGTGTGTATATATAAATATATATATATTTACACACAAAAAATGAGTTAGCATATTTCTACCACATACTTAGTTAAGATGAACAAATATGTACAAACATACACCAGTGTTAAACAAGATAAAGCAAGGTTAATATCCATTCACATGTGAACAGCAAGGAATAGTACACATAAATATAAATTGTATTATTTCACTAAAGGCAATGAAATAACAACCTTACTGATAATATTGTAACTAGATTTCAGTCTCAAAACTTAAAAAAATAATATAAGGATATGGAAAAATATTTAAAGTAAAATTGAAATGAAACAGCAAAAAATTTTAAAACAAAGACACCAAAAAGAATTATGGGATTCAGAATGGGCGGGGTTAGGACAAGGATCACGACTGCTTTGTATGATAAGGATTATAACTAGCTGGGATTTCTCACAAAACGGAGTGAACTGAAGCGGAGATTAAAGAAATACTTCTTATAAAACAAAGGTAGTGTTTCTTTCTTCATGTTGCAAAAAGAAATGAATAATTATCTAGGGTAGTGTACAGAAAGCTGTTTGAAGGCAGGGGATGCATTACAATACAAGACCTCTGAAATGAATTCCATCTTAGTTTTCAATTTTAAAACAAAGAAGCACAATCTAATAAACTATTCAGTAAGAGAAATATTTTTTGTTCTATAGCAAAATCAGAACAGAAATCCTATTCTATAGGATAAACATTATGATCAATGCAAAGCCACTATTCCAAACTGAATAGAGAAGTAGAATATCATAACTGCTTGAGGAGCTATTTCTAACTATATAGTGATTTGCCTCTATAGCCCTTCCATGTTTTAGGCAGATATCCTGCTAAGTGGGGCAATGAATATGTATGGATTATGTAATGAATATGTACAATACAGAGAAAATTAATTCCTCAGGTGATTGATAAATATATCTACTGTCCTGCAAAACTGGCTGGAGAATTTTGTTCGAACTAAGTGATATGCTGATTATGACTTAGAAATAATTTTGTCACACAGATTAATTAGCTGAAATATAATTTTACTTTTAAAATATATAGGGCAATCAGCTAAGAAGCCTTATAACAAGTTAGTATTTTTTTGCATATTAAAAGCAGTGAAGAAAAAAATCCTAGTTTTATGAAAAGTTAGATTTAAGTATGAACTATTAAAAAATTGTTTGGCATTATCTACAAAATAGATAATAAACTTGCTTAAAATTCAACTGTAGAAAAACATCCTAGTTCCTATCCATTCTACTCAAGTGTTTTTAAAATAACCAAAAGTATTATAACAGAAGATTATAAAAACATTTAAAATACAACTTTATAATTTTTATTTGCAATTTGGAATTTAAACAACTCACTGGGAACATCCTCTGTGAGGCAATGTAGCCTGTTTTTATTTAAAACTATTTAAACTTCAAGACAGGCTCAATAATGCTTTTCAAGGGCAAGCAACAAATGTGTTAGCTGAAAATAGCCAACTTAGTGACTATCTGGGACAAAGACTTGATTATGTGAGCCTAGAGAGCCTCCCCACCTCTGTCTCCCCTGTGGAGGAGGAGGTCTTTGTGTGCTTTTCTGTGGTGGTTCCACTGAATTCATTACAATAGAGATGGACATTTCATATTCATAACGATCCAACATCTGAGCAATCTTCTTCCGAGATACACCATGTTTATTCCTCCTACCAAAAAAAGAAAAGGATTTTAAAACTTTTTTTAGAATGTATAGACTTAGAAATTAAGCATTTTTAGAGTCACAAAATAGATTCTAAATATTTTTGCAAATAAACATCAGAAAATATATTTCATTTACTTGTACTGTACACAAAAATTTTTGTCTCAAAAAATTTTTAAACATTTTTTTTTATATGAAAGGCAGGGAGATGAGAGACAGACAGACAAAACACAAAGGTCTCCCACTCACTGTACCCAACAGCTAGGGATGGACTAGGTAGGAAACAAGAGCCAGGAACTCAACAGAGATTTCCCATGTGGGTGGCACAGACCCAATTACTTGGGCCATCACCTGATGTCTGCCAAAGTGCACATTAGCAAGCAGTTAGAATGGGGAAAAGGTGCTGGGACTTGAACCCAAACACTCTTGATATGGGATGCAGGAGTCTTAAACCGTGAGTAAACCAATGCTCTAAAGAACTCTTCTAGTAACATAATCAAAGATTACGATATATTCCTTTAGAGTTACAGAAGCATTGAAGGTTTATAGGATGTACAAAAAATAATGCATCCATGAATTTTTAAAACCTCCAATCCAGCTCTCTGCTTTGGCCCCGGAAAGCAGAAGATGGCCCAAGTCCTTGGGCCCCTGCACCCATGTGGGAGACCCAGAGGAGGCTCCTGGCTCCGGATCAACACAGTTCCAGCCATTGCGGCCATCTGGGGAGTGAACTGGCAGATGGAAGCCCTCTCTCTGTGTCTCGACCTCTCTCTGTAACTCTGCCTTTCAAATAAATAAAATAAATCTCTAAAAAAAAAAAAAAAAAAAAAAAAAAATCATTGTCATCAGCACCGGTATTGAGGCAAAGTAGATTAAGGCATTGCTTGGAACATCCACACCTCATATCAGAGGGCCAGTTAAGTCCCAGCTGCTCCAGTTGCAATCCAGCTTCCTACCAGTGAGAAGGCATCAGATAATGGCCCCAGATGGAGTTCTGGACACCTGCGTTGGGCCTGGCCAAGCCTTGGCTGTTTTGAGCATGAGTGAACCAGTGGACAGAAAAGTATCTCTCTCCCTCTCTGTCACTCTGCCTTTAAGATAAATATAATCTTGAAAAAATAATTGTCATCAATACCAAATTATTATTAGAGACAACAATTAGGACATCTCACACAAACATGAGGATACTTCAAAAAGTTCATGTAAAACTGAATTTATCTTTAAAAATAAATAAAAGGAAAAAAGAAAAAAATTAAACTTTCTGTTGATGCAAGAGAATTTTAAATCCTTAATTTTATCATAATATACATTTTCATGAACTTTTTTGAAGCTTCCTTATAATGGTGAGGGAAAGACTATCTACCTTTGAAAGAAAGGCAAGATTAAAGTACAGTATTAACGTAAAAGATGTCAGGGCCCGCTGTGGCAGGTTAAGCTGAGGCCTTCGATGCTGGCATCCCATATGGCAGCCCGTTCAAGTCCCTGCTAATGTGCCTGGGAGAGCAGCTGAAGATGGCCCAAGTCCTTGGGCTCCTGCACCCATATGAGACCCAGAAAAAGCTCCTAGCTCTTAGCTTCAGCCTGGCCCATCCCTGGCCATTGTGGCCATTTGGGAGTGAACTAGCAGATGGAAGACCTCTCTCTCTAACTCTGCCTTTCAAATAAATAAATCTAAAAAAAAAAAAAAAAAAAAAAAAAAAGAGTAAAAGATGTTAAAGTGAAACTTCAAAGAAAAGTAGAAACTAACTGTGATTACCAAGAGGAGATAAAGGGTAACCATGACTGGGAAGAGGAACATGAATAGCTTCTGAGGTCTCATGGCATGTGTGATTGCTATTTGCATATCTGTTGTGTATCCTTGTTGAGCTCTATATTTATATTTTATGCACTTTTCTGTTTGTGAGTTTATATGGGGAAAAAAAGTGGGTTGAAAGTTACTCCTGATAATTCATTTTTTCCAGAAAAAAAGGCACAAAAGAAATGTTTACTTTCAAGTATAAGGTTTACATATTCAAGGTAAGAGAAAAATAAAGAAAGAAGAAGAGGAAAAAAGAAAAAAAATAAAGATTTGAGGCTAAAAAACTGAGAGGGATGAAACCCCAAGATGTAAAATTGACTCAATCAATTCTTTCAAAGATGGAGCTTTGCCAGGTGTCAATTAAACTAGCTTTTTACATAAAGTATTAACTCATATTAAGAAATTTATAAATGTCAATAGTCCCTCAATTATAAATGATGTCCTAACTACACAACAATTTCATTACTCATTTATTCAGCATAACTCAAATATCTTCAGTTTTCAAATTTCTGTCTCTTCCAACTCAGGTGTGACACAAACACACTGAGGCAAACAATATTAGACATTAATATTAATAAATCTATTATCTATATATGAGCACATAGCACAAAATCAAACAGAAAGAAGTAGCCAAAGGAATGAAGGCAGGGGAGAAAGAATTAAATTAATTGGGCCCCAAACACAGAGTAACAGCTTGAAGCTAGAAGAGGGTTAACCTTATTTAAAATAAGGCAAAACCTTATTTAAAAAATGGGGGTAAAGGCACACAACTGTATACTTACATGGGTGAACTGTAAAGTATATGACTTATAAGTCTACAATGAAGTGGTGACCTAAAGGAGGAGGTAGTGCAAGTGGACAAAGAGCCTTCGTCAGGAACAGCAGTGATGTAAGAGGAAAAGGATAATGGAAAAGCTGGAGTGAAAGTAATGCAAAACCACAATCTCTCTTCCCAAGTTCTGAAATCTAGTTAGCTCCGAAAACTGAGTTTTCTAATAATTCACATGTAGCAAAACCTCTATTCATTGGCAGCACAACCTACTTAGAACTGATGTTAACGGAATGTAGACTTTCTTTCTTACTTAGACTGACAAGTTGTAATTTGTTACAAATATATCAAGGTGTTTGATTATCACATGCTGCCCCAAACTCTGTTAGTAATGTTACAGTTATGTATACGCACTTTCAAAACATCCCAAAAAGTCTGAATTACGAAACACACTGGTTCCAAGGATATGGGAATGGGATTATGACCTTGAAGTAGTAAAGACTGAAGAGAGAGCAAGGCAAAAGCACAGGTAAGAAGGTAGTGAAATCTGAAACCTAAAATGAGATGATGAATGCAGAAACACACTCTGAGAAGTGGCATAGCTAAAAACAGAAGGAAAAGTTCCAATTTTACTTTACAAAGTTTCCTGTACCTACACCATTATTCAAATAAACTGTAAATGATGTAGGAATTCACATTAACAAGGAAAATTTAATAAATTTAATAAAATTTAACACGGCAAAGCTACTCAAAAATCTTTAGGTCAATATGTTCCTCTAAACAAAATAAAGAGTAGTCCCTACTCATAAGTAGCAAAGATACAACAAGCAAAAAGCTAGCAAAGAAACTGCTAATGTGAATGAGAAGTGAAAGAAATAAAAACAAGAGTTCAATAAAAATGTGCCTTACTTTTCTAATTCTTCAGGATCAAATTTCCACCAAGTTTCAGGTTCATGAAACTCTACTCTGTATCCTTTTCCTATGGCCTACACAAAGGAAAGGAAAGAAAACAAAAACCCAGAGAATGCTTCTTAAAGCAAAAAGAAGGCAGACAGATATAAAATTCATTTTAATAAATTTCTAAACTTGCACAACCAAGGAAAATGTTATTTTATTAAATATTTGGTCTAGAAATATTAAGACTATTTCCCTGGACAATTCCAGTTACTCTCCTCAAGTTCAGGCAGAAATAACAATATGAGCATATCCCTTAAGAACCATCCCCAATTTTTTTAAAAAAACTAAGTAAGCCAACAAACCTCTTTAGAAAACAAGGACAAATGTTTTAATAATAAAGGTGAAAGTAACCAGAAGTTCAGAATATGAAAAAGTTTATTAATTAGAAAAAATTTTGTATTTCATATTTACCATTTCCACATATGGCTTCATTTCCCAAGCCTGTGTATTAGTGTTGTCTATTATAACTGGAGATCTCCCCTGATCGATAGCTTGTTTTGCTGAAATAAGAAATAAATTTAAAAAACAAAAAAACTAAAACCAGAATGATTAACTTAAATATAGAAATCTAATTTAGATGTTCATTTAGAAATTTATTGCATCTCTGTATAAAAACCAAAATTGGGGGCCAGCATTAGGTTCAAGTCCTGGCTGGTACACTTCAAATCCTACTAATGCATCTGGGAAAACAGTGTATGACGGCCCAAGTGCTTAGGCCCCTGCCATTCACATGAGAGACCTGGATGGAGTTCCTGGCTTCCTGCTTTGGCCTGGCCCAGCTCCAGCAGTTGTACCCACTTGAGGACTGAATCAGGAATGCAAGGTATCTCTCTCTTTCTTTCTCTGTCTCTCCCACCCACTCTCACCATTCTGGCTTTCAAATGAATAAATCTTAAAAAAAAAACACTGGGCAGGGGCCAGCACTATGGCATAGCGGGCAAAGCAGCCACTTGCGGTGCCAGCATCCCATACAGGCACCGGTTCATGTCCTGGCTGCTTCAATTCCCATCCAGCTCTCTGCTATGGCCTGAGAAAGCAGTGGAAGATGGTCCAAGTGTTTGGGCCCCTGCACCCACATGGGAGTCCTAGAAGAAGCTTCTGGCTCCTGGCTTCGGATTGGCACAGCTCCAGCCATTGCAGCCAAATGGGGAGTGAACCAGCAGATGGAAGACTTACTTTCTCTTTCTCCCTTTCCCTCTCCCTCTCTGTGACTCTGCCTTTCAAATAAATAAACCTTAAAAACAGAACATTTTTTTTCTTTCGCTGTACAACTTCTTGAGTCAGTACCGTGAAAAAATAAAAAGGACTCCATTACATCAAAAGAGAATTAACACACATACTACATGTCAAGTATATTTTTCTGGACTGGATGCTGGCTTTGACAAACTGGTTGTCAAAGGCATTTTGGGGAATAGAGGTGAAGGTGGTGGGCATTATGGTGCAGTGGGTTAAAGTAACCACATGGAACACATGCATCCCATATCAGAGTTTCTGGTTAGTCTGGACTGCTCCAATGCCAATTCAGCTTCCTACTAATGCACACTGTGGAAGGCAAACGACTGTGCAAGCATTTAGCTCCCTGCCGCCCACAAGGGAGACTGGGATGGAATTCAGGGTTTCTGGCTTCAGCTTGGCACAAATCCAGACACTTGTTGCAGCTATTTGGGGAATGAATCTTGATAGAAGATGTGCTCTGTATCCCTCTCTCTGCCATTCAAATAAAAAGAAAATAATTATTTCAAAAAGAGAGCTGGGCCTATGTGAGACACCAGGATGAAAACCCCTGGATTTGCCTGACCACACCTGGTTGTTATGGCTACCTGGGAAGTGGACCAAAGGATGAAGTATCTCTCTTTCCATCTCAGTTTTTCCCTCTCCCTGTCACTCAGCCTTTCAAATAAACACATACTAAAAAAATAGAGTGCTGGGAAGCTACAATAAGATATTAAAAGTGGTCATCTATAGGTAGTGAAAATATCTGCATTTTAACTTTATCTGTATTTTCTAATTTTCTAAAATGTACAAACAATACTTTTGAAATAAGACAGGCTTATGTTTTTTTGTTTGTTTGTTTCTTTGTTTGTTTTTTTGACAGGCAGAGTGGACAGTGAGAGAGAGAGACAGAGAGAAAGGTCTTCCTTTTGCCGTTGGTTCACCCTCCAATGGCCGCTGCGGCTGATACGCTGCAACCGGTGCATCGCGCTGATCCGAAGCCAGGAGCCAGGTGCTTCTCCTGGTCTCCCATACGGGTGCAGGGCCCAAGCACTTGGGCCATCCTCCACTGCACTCCCGGGCCACAGCAGAGAGCTGGCCTGGAAGAGGGGCAACTGGGACAGAATCCGGCACCCCGACCAGCACTAGAACCCAGTGTGCCGGCGCCACAAGGCGGAGGATTAGCCTATTGAGCCACGGCGCCGGCCAAAACAGGCTTATGTTAAAAACAAGTATGGATTTATCACAACTTACCAGTAAAGCTTAATATACTAAATAGGTAAATACCACAGTTCAATTGCCTTTGTGGATGTCTTAGGACAGTGATTCTCTAAAGTAAAAATGACGTAGAAAACAACTTTTCTACGCTATATCCCCCTATCCAAATACCACAACTTCATCATGAGGCAAAAATTATGGTCTTGAGCTACTGTTAATGACAGGAACGTATACACCACTTAGATGTACCAGACAAGAAAAATAATTAGGGGCCAGCACTGTGGCATAGCACGTAAAGCTGCTGCCTGCAATGCCAGTATCCCACATGGACGCCAGTTCAAGTCCCAGCTACTCCACTTCCAATCCAGCTCTCTGCTATGGCCTGGGAAAGCAGTAGAAGATGGCCCAAGTCCTTGGGCCCCTCCACCCATGTGAGAGACCTGGAAGAAGCTTCTGGTTCCTGGCTTCAGATTGGCACAGCTCCAGCTTTTGCAGCCAACTGGGGAGTGAACCAGTGGATGGAAGACCTCTCTCTCTGCCTCTCCTCCTCTCTCTGTGTAACTCTGACTTTCAAATAAATAAATAAATCTTTTAAATCATAATAATAATAATAATAAAGAAGATTTCCTGATAAAATTTAAGACAAGGCCTAGTGTTGTGGCATAGCAGGTTAAGCCACTACTTGAAGTGCTAGCATCCCTTATGGATGTTGTTCAGTCAGTTCAAGTCACAGCTGCTTCACTTCTGATCTGGCTCCCTGCTAATGCACCTGGGAAAGCAGCAGACAGCTCCTTGGGCCCCTGCACTCACATGGGAAACCCAGAAGAAGCCCCTGGCTCCCAGCTTTAGCCTGGCCCAGCCCTGGCCATTGCAGCCATTTGAGGAGTGAACCAGCAGATGGAAGGTCTCTCTTTCTCTCTCTGTAACCCTGCCTTTCAACAAATAAAACAAATATTCAAAAAAGAAAGAGGGCCGGCGCCGCGGCTCACTAGGCTAATCCTCCACCTAGCAACGCCAGCACACCGGGTTCTAGTCCCGGTAGGGGCGCCAGATTCCGTCCCGGTTGTCCCTCTTCCAGGCCAGCTCTCTGCTGTGGCCCGGAAAGCAGTGGAGGATGGCCTAGGTGCTTGGGCCCTGCACCCCATGGGAGACCAGGAGAAGCACCTGGCTCCTGCCTTCGGATCAGCGTGGTGCACCAGCTACAGCACGCCAGCTGTGATGGCCACTGGAGGGTGAACTAACAGCAAAAGGAAGACCTTTCTCTCTCTCTCTCAGTATCCATTCTGCCTGTCAAAAAAAAAAAAAGAGAGAGAGAGAGAGAGAGAAAATTTAAAAGACAAAATGCAAGGCTATGGGTATTTACTTGGGACTTACAATTCAAAATACTAAATTCAACATACAGAAAATGTACATATAGCTAAGGCAGACAGAATTCTAAGGTTGTTCAGTAATAACTATGGTACAAAACATATTTGGGAAATGTCTCTAAATACCTAAAGAAATTTACAAATTGGGTCACAATAGGTTCTATTAAACCTATCAGTGTGATGCTATCATCCTCTATCACTCCATTTCTAATCATAAACAGTGATCAAATGTCCATCCATTAAAAAAATTCTTATATAAATAACTATCCTAGTGTTTGACAATTAGAAACACAGCTAAGAAGTTGTGCTCTACATGAAGAGCTTGTTTACCTAATAAACTTCTGATTTGTAAGAGTAAGATTAAATTTTTTCAAGATTTTATTTATTTGAAAGGCAGAGTTACACAGATGGAGAAAAGCAAAGGCAGAGTGAGTGTCTGTTTGCTGGTTCACTCCTCAAATGTCCGCAATGTCTAGGGCTGGGCCAGAAAGAATCCAGGAGCTTTTTCCAGGTCTCCCTCATGGGTGCAGGGAGCCAACGACTTGGGCTATCCTCCACTGTTTTCCCAGGTTCATTAGCAGGGAGCTGGACTGGAAGTGGAGCAGTCATGACTTGAACTGGCATACAGGAGGCGAATTAACCTGCTAGGCCACAACACTTGCCTGGATTAACTTCTTTGTATGTATAACCATCATCTATCAGCACAACCCAATGCACTGCAAGAAAACAGACCTCCTAAGAAAATTCTGACTATCCAAAAAAACAGAGTAGCTTTTTAAACAAATTACTCGCCTTACTCTACGAAAAAGAAGAATTGGAGAAGTTTTCTATTTGTAAATACTCTAAAATTACTTTAGATTCTTCTAATAACAAACATAAAGCAAGTTTTCCCACAATAGTACCTGACATTTAAAGGCATTCAAATAAATATCTGTTGAAAAGATTCTGTTCTAAATTATATATATCATGCTTATAATTTTCAAAATGTTTAATGGTTGCTAGGTATCATTACTTCAAAGGGTAACAATAATCCTGAAAAAAAAAAACCCTTTTTGTTACACTGATAAGAAAACCAGCAGTTTATTAAGACACCATTATTTTGTCCAGCAAGTGTAATTAGCATAATTCACATGCCATAAAAATTGTATTTATTTTATTTGAAAGACAGACAAATACAGAGACCATCTATCTCATGGTTCACTCCCCAAATACCCAGAACAGCCAGACAAGGTCATGCTGAAGCCAAAAGCCCAGATCTCAGCCCTGGTCTTCACATGAGAGGCAGGGACCCAACAACTTGAGTCATGACCTACTGCTTTCTAGAATACACATTAGCAGGAAGCTGAAACAAGGGCAGAGCCCAGACTGGAACTTAATCACTACAAAAACATCCGGCCCACATGGCATAAACATTTTGAAGTATTCTATATATGCGCTGCAAAGAGAAAAATAAATCCCACACAAACTTCCTAGTTTACCAAAAGTATACTGGCTTTGCCCACTCTTATTCTATTTACCACCTGATCTTGCTCCCATTAACTTTAGACCAATAAATAATTCCAAACATTTTTGGAATTGCAACACCATCAGTTTGATTTAGACAATAATGTTCTTCGGCATTAAATGATTTAAAAAATTTTAGTTTCTTACGTCACCCTCTAACATATTTGGAGAAATCTTAGAGTGCTACAAAATCATAGGTTAAATATCTTTTACCCAAAATGATGAGGACCAGCGTTTTGGGTTTCATATTTTTTCAAATTTTAGAGTATTTACATAGACCTTACTTATAGGTTCAGCATTTTTAAACAAAAAATATAAAACCTGAAACTTTTTGAGCAAACATGTGGAGGCTCAAAAAATTTCAGATTTTGGAGCATTTAGATTTGGAGTTTTTGGAGCAGAGATGCTCAACCTGTAGTATAACAGTCTCAGAATCAAACTTACTTGACACTTAAATATTCCTGTGAAACCATAAACTAAAACAAAGTAAAAAGTTTTTAATCCAAAATATCTTCACTGAAATTCCTTGCTCTAAAAAAATGGACAATTAAAAAAGGAAAAGCAGTGGGGGCACGCTTTGTGGCACCATGGGTTCAGCCACTGTTTGAGACACCCACATCCCATACTGGGTTGTGATTCTAGTCCTGGCTACTTTACTTCTGACCCAGAACCCTGCTAAAGCACCTAGGAAGCAGGATATAATGGCTCACTTCACTCTGCCACCCACATGGGAGAACCCAATGGAGTTCTTGGCTCCTGGCTTTAGACCTCCTCTGTCCCAACTGTTACAGCCATTTGGAAAGTGAACAAGCAGATGAAAGATCTCTCTTTCTCTCTTTTCCTCTCTTCCTCTAACTGTGCTTTTCCAATAAATAAATAATCAATCTTTTAAAAAGATCCCATACATACATACTATACTATACAGAAACCTTAGCTGGTAGCTACAAATGAGACAAAGTTCTTAATTATAGAAGAATTTTTGCTATTAAACATGGAAAGAATGACAGATCTAGAAAATCACTATTTTGCATCTCTTAATGAAATAACAGATCCAGGAGATAATTCAGTGTTGGATAAAACCAGCAGCTATAAAGCTTTATAGGGAACTTGATAATGGAAACAACAGCTACTGATCAATCTTACCATCACTAAGAGTGGAACAACCAAACATCTGCTTGCCAAAAAATAAAGCTGAACCTAATCAAGCCTCCCAGTCTACAGCTAATTTCCATTTATGAAAAATGTAAGAGAAAAGGGAACAAGAAAAACAGCTACTTGATGGCACCATGGCTCAATAGGCTAATCCTCCACCTTGCGGCGCCGGCACACCAGGTTCTAGTCCTTGTTGGGGCGCCAGATTCTGTCCCGGTTGCTCCTCTTCCAAGCCAGCTCTCTGCTATGGCCTGGGAGTGCAGTGGAGGATGGCCCAAATGCTTGGGCCCTGCACCCCATGGAAGACCAGGAGAAGCACCTGGCTCCTGCCATCGGATCAGCGCGGTGCGCCGGCCGCAGCCACGGCAGCCATTGGAGGGTGAACCAACAGCAAAAGGAAGACCTCTCTCTCTCTCTCTCTCTCTCTCTCTCTCACTGTCCTCTCTGCCTGTCAAAACAAAACAAAAACAAAAACAAAAACAAAACCAGCTACCACTAGGAGCAAACAGATAATCACAGGATATGAAACACCACAGTACAAATGATCTAGGTTCTGCAGCAATGGCATAAGGGTTAAAGGAAAACTTCTGTAGAGTAACACAATAAAACATAAACTCTATATATTGAGGACTTCTTTGGATCCTGATTCAGATGAAACAACTGTAAAACAAATTTTAAAACAATAGGGGAAATTCAATTAGATGATGTTTAGAAATTATCATTTTTATGTATGATAATGGCATTGTACTAGATATGATAAAGTAAGGTTAATTTGAAATGCATAAAGTATAATGTCTAGAATTTGTTTTAAAACACTTTTAGAGGCTGGTGCTGTGGCGTAGCCAGTAAAGCTGCCGCCTGCAGTTGCTAGCATCCCATACAGGCGCCAGTTCGAGTCCCAGCTGCTCCACTTCCAACCCAGCTCTCTGCTATGGCCTGGGAAAGCAGTAGAAGATGGCCCAAGTCCTTGGGCCCCTGCACACATGTGGGAGACCCGGAAGAAGCCCCTTGCTCCTGGCTTCAGATCAGCACAGCTCCAGCCACTGCGGCCAACTGGTGAGTGAAGCAGCAAGTGGAAGGCCTCTCTCCCTCTCTGCCTCTCCTCCTCTCTCTGTGTATATCTCTGACTTTCAAATAAATAAGTAAATTAAAAAAAAAAAAGACTCTAGGAGGGGCAGTGGTGATGGCTCAAAGTAATTGGATTCTTGCCACCACCCACATGGAAGACACAGACTATACTCCTGGCTCAAATGTCCTTGCCTGGGCTGCTGCAGGCATTTGGGGAGTGAATCTGCAGAAGGGAACTCTCTCTTACCTCACCGTGTTTGCAAAAGGGAAGGCTCCCTTATCTCCACGTGTTTGTGTGTCTCTACCAGATCAATAAAAATTTAACTTATATGCATTTACTTACACAGTTCTAAACCAATAGTTTTTATATGATTGCACATTAGAATCATCTAGAGAGGGGAAGGCAATGTGGCATAACAGGTGAAGCCACAGCCTGTGACACTGGCATCCCACATGGGCACCGGTTCAAATCTTGGCTGCTCCACTTCAGATCCAGTGCCTTGTTAATGCACAGGAGAAAGCAATGAAAGATGGCACAAGTCCCTGGGTCCCTGCACCTATGTGGGAGACCCACATGAAGTTCCTGGCTCCTGGCTTCAGTCTGGCCCAGTCATGGCCATTGTAGCCATCTGAGGAGTAAACCAGCAGATAGAAGACTGAGCTCTCTCTTTAACTCTGCCTTTCAAATTAAATAAATAAAAAAAAAAAAAAAAAAAAAAAAACTCATCTAGAGAATGTACACACACACACACACACACAGAGATACCATGTTTTGGCCCCACTCCAAAACAATTAAAATAAAAATATACAGGGCCAAGAGCCAGGAATAAGTCTTATTTAATTTTTTAATTTTTTTTTTAAGACAGGCAGAGTTAGACAGTGAGAGAGAGAGACAGAGAAAGGTCTTCCTTCCGCTGGTTCACCCCCCAAATGGCCGTTACGGCCAGTGTGCTGCGCCGATCTGAAGCCAGGAGCCAGATGCTTCCTCCTGGACTCCCATGCGGGTATAGGGCCCAAGCACTTGGGCCATCCTCCACTGCCTTCCCAGGCCATAGCAGAGAGCTGGCCTGGAAGAGGAGCAACTGGGACAGAATTGGCATCCCAACCGGAACTAGAATCCGGAGTGCCAGCGCCGCAGGAGGAAGATTAGCCAAGTGAGCCACGGCGCCAACCAGGAATAAGTCTTATTTAAAGATCCCCAAATTATTCAAATGTGCAGCCAGGTTAAGAACCATTGTTTGTAATAAACTCATGTCCTTTAAAAAAATGTATTGAGTTGTTTCTTGCAGAGCAATATCAAGGAGAAAAAATATTCATGGTCATATACTAAGTAAGTCTTGGAGAACATAAGCATTATTCTCAGGGAAATAACTTTTGGAATTATGTAATAGCATCAGTACTCTCTGAATTATTAAGGTATAAAAGAACACTGATCAAAATAACCCATACCTCAATTTTAACAGCTTATATACTAATATACTGTTCATAATTTATAAAATGTTTTTATCTAAATTCTGACTTTCACAACAACCTTGATCAAGTAGGTTAAGCATAATTAACAACAACTCTAATAAATGAAGAATTTAGATTTCAAAGTTATATAAATGCTCTGCCAAAGTCATCTAGCTGGTAAAAATCTAAGTTGAGAATAATCCTAAAAAGTAGATCTTTTGATTCCTAGTCAAATATTCTATCCCAGGAGACTTGGTCCAAAACAAACCTCTGCTCTGGTTCCAGTCATGGGCATCACCAAGTTGATTAACATTATACCTGTACCCATCTTGATGGTGAAAATAGTCATCAGTGCTGAACACAATGCCATCACGACTCTGACCAAGCAGAATTCTGTTAACAGAAAAAATCATAAAGGTGCCATTTTTAAAATTTATAACCACCAGAAATAAACCAGAGGAAAGATCATTAAATGAATTCCTGGCACTTACTTGCAAGTATATTGCAAATACAATAACACAGAAGCTGAACAATCTTAAAAAGCTTTCAGATTTCAAACGCCACTTCACACTTAAATCTACATATTGTAGTCCGCATCAAAAACTTTTTAAAGCAGCACTTGTAATACAACTTTTTAAAGCAATTTTCACCCAATCCTAAAATTACAACAACTGTTACTCATGTCTTACCTTTAGTGACTTTGTATTTGGTATCTAAAATTCCCTCAATTTAGTCCAACAAAAAAATTAAGCAAGGAATTCATCTGGGAAGACCCTATTTGACCCAAGACAGCTTCAATAAACTTATTTCCATAAGGCACAAATACACAGGACTTGTAAGTGAGCATCAGAAATAGCTTTAGACTTAAGACTGTGAAATAACCTGTGATCCTGCAAAGTATAATCAAACTTTAAATTTTTAAAGAGATGAAATCCCTAAATGAAGTCAATTATTAAGCATGAAATAAAAAAATAAACTCAGAGTAGGTCAACAAATTTTCAGATCAAGTTTTGTTTTGAAATGTTACTACCTGGAATTTCCACACGAGCTAAAATTAACAAATGCCAGAGAATTCTCATAACCAATGACTCAAGAGATTGGAAGTGTGCTCAGAAACCAAAAACACAGTAAGATATTAATTTGGATTTAACAACACAAAGTACTTTGCTTCTCTGTTCTCTTTAAACCACTGGGCAACTGGATATCATCCTATAATCTCTAAGGGGTGGGAAGTGGTATAGAAGGTGACAGAAGGAAAGAATACTTCCTATTAAAAGTCCTAGGACTTCAACTGCTAAAATGACAAACATGTTATCTCTCCTTCGGCTTATAACACCGTATACTAAAGTACCTCAAAAATATCTGTGGAAAACACAATTAAAGGAAAGGTTTAGGGGCTGATGCTATGGTGTAGCCGGTAAAGCCACCACCTGCACTGGCATCCCATTTGAGTCCCCAGCTGCTCCACTTCTCATTCAGCTCCCTGATAATGAGCCTGGGAAAGCAGCAAAAGACAGCCTGGGTGCTTGAGTCCCTGCCACCTATGTGGGAGACCTGGAAGAAGCTCCTGGCTCCTGGCTTCGGATCAGACCACATCCAGCCGTTGCAGCCATTTGGGGAGTAGACCAGTGGATAGATCTCTTTCTGTTTCTCCCTCTGTCTGTAACTCTGCCTTTCAAATAAATAAAATTTTTTAAAAGAAAGATTTATTTTGGTGTAAAAAATTTTTGAGGGCCTGGTGCTGTGGCGTAGCGGGTAAAGTCATTGCCTACAGTGCCAGCATCCCTTATGGGTACCAGTTTAAGTTCCAGCTGCTCTACTTCGATCCCGCTCTCTGTATGGCCAGGGAAGGCAGTAGAAGATGGCCCAAGCCCTTGCGCCCCTGCACCCACTTGGGAAGACCTGGAGGAAGCTCCTGGCTCGATTGGCGCAGCTCCAGCCATTGCAGCCATCTGGGGAGTGAACCAGCGGATGGAAGACCTTTCTCCCTCTCTCTTTGCCTCTGCCTCTCTGTAACTCTGCCTTTCAAATAAATAAATAAATCTTTAAAAAAAATTTTTTTGAAATGCATAGTTTTTCATGATACACATTTTCATAAACTTTCTGAAGATTCATGTCTGCAAGAAATTCAATTTTTTTCACCAAAACAAACATTTCAATCCAATTTCCATTAAACTTTTGAAGTTCCCTGAAATTCATAATATAAAAGCACATGTATAAAAGAAAGCAATTTTAAAGATGTGTTTCTACTTATACAATTCCAAATAAAAGTCAATTGTTTAAATTATTTGTTTGCTTTTTTGGGAGACTGGAGCTGAATTTGCTTTAACCAGCAACAATTTTTCTAAAACACAACCCATTTAACACACCTGGCATCTTACGTGCTTACACAGAAAACACCTAGGATAGAAAAAATGCTATAATACTAGCATTCTAAACCAAAGTTCAATTAGCCTGATAGGTGCTAATAATATCCTACTATAGGACTCTAGTAGCTTTGTATCCAAAGAATAGTTCAAAAGTCTTCCAAGTCACACACACAAAAAAAAAAGTAGTAAGGAAGAGACAGTAAAGCAATTTATATCAATAAATCTTGTAAACATCAAAGATAAACAGACCTTTTTAAGAAATATATATATCTTAAATACATAAATCATAACCATGATAAATAAATTTAGCTTGGAGATACTTTTTACTCCCAGATATGCATAGACTGTAATGCATCTTTTTCAAGCTCCCTGAATTATCTCCAACCATGGAAACTGTTTTGGGGACACCAAAAACGCCTATTTGAATCTGGAAACATCTGACATCATATAAAGCATCTGAATCAAAAATAACTTTAAGAATATTAGTATTTTCAAAGTGCTTATACCCAAATTATATCAGAATTCTCTCAAATCTATATCAAATCCATATCTTAGAATGTTAAAAATTTTTACCTCTGAATGAGACAAATACGTAACTAAAGAAAAAAATCAGATCCGAACCAGTGGACATTTGATCTGTTTTTTTTTTTTTTTTTTTCAAAACAACAACAGCTCTGTTTGAGAACCTATTAAGTACCAAACATTTTATATTCTTCTACAGCCTCATTTAATCCCTACAACAATCCTGTAAATTTGAAATTAAACAAATTTAGGGAAGAAAAATAATCTCCAAAGTTAGGCCACTAGAGTTCCACAGAGAGTTCCACTATGAGAACTAAGAGAAAGCTAACTCCAAAATCATAGGCCTATAAGTATTCTTGCCTCCTGATATTCACACGCTTGCATATTTCCCTCCCCTGCAATGTGGCTGGATTTAGTTACTAGTTTCAAAGGCACAGACTATGGCTCATGAAAGCATAGAAAGAAACCAAATGTCATGTGAACAGAGAAAGGCCCATCTAGCAAACAATAGAAGGAGATCTCCAGCAAGCAAGGAACTGAGACCCCCAATCCAAGATAGCACACAGGAACTGAGTCCTGTCAACAACTTTGTGAGAGCTCTTAGAAGCAGATCCTCCCTCGAGTCAAGGATCAGACCAGAACACAGCCACGCCAACACCTTGATAACAGCATTGTTAGAAATCTTGACCAGCAGATATCGGCTAACAAACACAAGCTGTGAGGCAATAAATGCTTTTAACAAATTAATTATTTTAATTTTATTTGAGAGGCACATAGAGAGGGAGAGCTAGAGAGGGAAAACCAGAGAGAGGGAGAGAGACTGAAAGAGAGCAAGAAGGAAACAGAGAAGAGGGACAGGAAGAGATTTCTTTAAACGCCTAGGGCTGAACCAGATTGAAGCCAAAAGCAGGAAACTCAATCCAAGTCTCCCACATAGGGGCAGGAATCCAATTACTTGAGCCATCACAGCTGCCTCCCAGTATCTGCATTAGCAGGAAGGTGGTATCAGGGGTTGAGCTAGGACTTGAACCCAGGTACTCAGACATAGGACACAGGCATCTGAACCACTAAGCCTAACACCCTACCCCATACAATTTAAACTACAGTAGTTTTAAAATACATTTTGATAGCTAGTGGGATGCCTTTTTCTTTTTTTCAAATTGATCTTATATTTATATAAAAAAAAACAATCTTTAGAATTAGCTTATGAAAATTCATACAAAAATCCCTTTGGGATTTTGCAAGTTTCACTGAATTTTCAACCAACCATGAATTGAAAGTGTGAGGGGGAGGGTGAGAATCACAAGAATATGTTATGTTGTTGCTGACATGTACTATACAGTTCTCTGCTGAACATGTACAAACTTTTTTCCTTGTAATTATTCCCTAAACAATACAAGATAACAACTATTTACACAGCATTTACACTGTTAGGTATTACAAGTAACCCAGAGATGATTTACATTGCATATACAGAGGATATTCACTAGAACAAATTATATATGAATACTGTAACATTTTATAAGAGACTTGGGCATCTATAGAATTTGGTACCTGTGTTGAGGGGGATTGTGGGGGACAGTCCTGGAATCAATCCCTCTTGATACCAAGAGACAACTAACCGTATTGTCTACTATTGTCTCTCTCAACATCACCAACAAAAATGTCTTAGATGCTTTCCATGTTGGAGGCAGTGTGGTTTTGGAAAGAATGGTGGGGGGAGGAGTTGTTGGAGTTAGCCCTGGACTCTCAAATTCTAATTCTAAAATATACAATGCATGCAATCTGGGATGAAGTTACTGAAACACTTGGTATCCTTATCTATAAAATGAGAAATTAAGATCTACCTGTTCTGAGGACAGTACCTCTGCATCACACATCCAACAAATTACAGGTACTTATTGCTACAAGAGGCACACAGGAAAAGCTGCTAAAAATTCCAAAGTTGCTAAGTTTGGGTCCCTGCTTACAATCTAAATGACCAGATTTGAAGTATATTCAGTGAAATGATGACTATAATTTACCTTAAAATACTGCAGCACAGATAGTGCGTGGTCACGTAGAAAATTTAAGCTACATCATAAGCAGTTACCCTAATCAAGAAACTAATACCCAGGGTGGTTTTCTAACTAAAGCTATTCTACAAAGGTGGCTACAAGAGGTTATTACGAGTGCTTCAACTATCAATGTCTGAGCAATTCCAGACATTTTTGCTAATTATTAAATCAGTGGCTTGTTTCTGAAAATACACTCATTGATAAAATCAATAGAGTACAAGAAATCATTTATTGATTTTTTTTAAAAAGTCTTCAGTTTTTATACCAACTAGCCTTTGACAATTAACTCTTTTTATGTGTCTGCAGTAGCAATTCTTTTTAAAATAATTTTTATTTACTTATTTATACTTATACAAAAAGCACAGGGAAAGATACTGGACATCCATCTACAGGTTCTCTCCCCAAGCTTAAGTCATGAGCCTGGAACTCAATCCAGGTCTCCATG